TTAAGGTCCTGTGTTAAGGTCCTGTGTTAAGGTCCTGTGTTAAGGTCCTGTGTTAAGGTCCTGTGTTAAGGTCCTGTGTTACAGCCCTATAGTGCAGTCTTATGTTGCAGTGAAGCGGGCACTGAACACCCTTACATTACCACTTTGATGTGCCCCCCCCCCCCCATCATCCCCTTGAGTTGCGACTTGGTAACGCCCCCCCTCCCCCCCACGTGACACGTGATTGAAACAAAGTAAAAAGGTTCTCAAACAGAACTAGAAACGTTTGACCTTGACCTCAGGATTATCCCCCAAACTTGCCGAAAGTTTACGTTTTCTAGAAACCTGGAGAGCTCATATATCAAGGTAAGCAAACACCTGCATACCTACATCTACCCCCCCCCCCTGCGTTAAATCTTATCTGTTACCCAGTAACCTTCCAGCCCATGAGGAGAAAATTAAAAACTGGAGGACGTGAACACATTTTAAAAACCTGATTTACGACAGTCAAATCACGTGATACGGGTAGATGCATCTGGTGAGGCTGGGATATTTGGTGACACAAGTACAGGTATTTGGTGAATGTTGTAGTAGGTGATACAAGTAGAGGTATTTGGTGAATGTTGTAGTGGTGACACACATACAGTATTTGGTGAATGTTGTAGTGGTGACACAAGTAGAGGTATTTGGTGAATGTTGTAGTGGTGACAGAAAATTGGTGAATGTTGTAGTGGTGACAGATAATTGGTGAATGTTGTAGTAGTGACACACATGTATTTTGTGAATGTTGTAGTGGTGACACAAGTAGAGGTATTTGGTGAATGGTGTAGTGGTGACACAAGTACAGGTATTTGGTGAATGGTGTAGTGGTGACACACATGTATTTTGTGAATGTTGTAGTAGTGACACAAGTACAGGTATTTGGTGAATGTTGTAGTGGTGACACAAGTACAGGTATTTGGTGAATGTTGTAGTGGTGACACAAGTACATGTTTTTGGTGAATGTTGTAGTGTTGATAGATATTTGGTGAATGTTCAATAGGTGCTACACATACAGGTATTTAGTAAATCGTGTACAGTAACAACTAATGCAACGACAGAAAAGACAAACAGTAACACAATATTCGACTCAGTTCGACAGTGAAAACATTTAGACAAGACGTGTTTTCACTGTCGAGCTAAGTCCAAAACTGTGTTACTGTTTGTCTTTTCTGTCTAATCTGTAACCAAACGGTTGTGTGCTGACGAAGACCTTGGGTCGAAACGTCCATAGTATTTGTAACTGTCTTTAACTTGTGAGGTAACTTACACTATCTGTTGTATTACTCATTGAATGAACCTCACTGCAGCTACCATTTGTATTTACAACAATACCCGGTTTTTTAAAAGTTGAGTTACTCTATGACTCAGGTATAACAATCAACATTTTTACCACCCAGCCAAGCGTGAAATATTTGACGGCCATTTCTTTTGTTGGGTGAGGGGGGGGGGGCTTAGTCCTGAAATTTGTGTATGTGGTTATGTAAGGGTAGAACACCAAGTATGTGGGTACGTCTTGTGTTTTCTTGTGTTTGTTGCAACTGAAACATTGTTAATCTGCAGTAAACTCACACATGTACACTATGTTACAGAAAAGTCACATGTGTACACTATGTTATAGTATGTTGACATGCGTACACCAAATGTTTCCCCCTCAACCATACATGAGATCATATTCCCCATTGTGTAATTGTTACATAATTGTTACACATAGATCAAATCACTGCTTGTTGGTAGAATTCAAATCTCCGCCCACATCTACCTATTGTTAGGACTTTTAAAAATGGAAAATGTTTTCATTCCACAGCAATGACAGGCGAACACCTTCCTCCCCCTTCACATTAGGAGACACGGTCACAGGGTAGCCAACACTATCACATTATACAATCACATTAAACCATTAAACAATCACATTAGGCAATCACATTATACATTGACATTAGGAAATTACTTTAAACAATCACATTATGTAATCCCACATTTCGATAGAGAAAATTGGAGGATTAGACGGTTTATTGCACTTATATGACAACATGAACTACCAAACATTACAACATCCTCCCATGGCTACACACAAACCAAGCTCCCCACACTTATATGACGACATGAACTACCAAACATTACAACATCCTCCCATGGCTACACACAAACCAAGCTCCCCACACTTATGTGACAACATGAACTACCAAACATTAAAACATACACGGCTACACACAAACCAAGCTCCCCACACTTATATGACAACATGAACTACCAAACATTACAACATCCTCCCATGGCTACACACAAACCAAGCTCCTCACACTTATATGACAACATGAACTACCAAACATTACAACATCCTCCCATGGCTACACACAAACCAAGCTCCCCACACTTATATGACAACATGAACTACCAAACATTACAACATCCTCCCATGGCTACACACAAACCAAGCTCCCCACACTTATATGACAACATGAACTACCAAACATTAAAACATACACGGCTACACACAAACCAAGCTCCCCACACTTATATGACAACATGAACTACCAAACATTAAAACATACACGGCTACACACAAACCAAGCTCCCCACACTTATATGACAACATGAACTACCAAACATTACAACATCCTCCCATGGCTACACACAAACCAAGCTCCCCACACTTATATGACAACATGAACTACCAAACATTACAACATCCTCCCATGGCTACACACAAACCAAGCTCCCCACACTTATATGACAACATGAACTACCAAACATTACAACATCCTCCCATGGCTACACACAAACCAAGCTCCCCACACTTATATGACGACATGAACTACCAAACATTACAACATACACGGCTACACACAAACCAAGCTCCCCACACTTATATGACAACATGAACTACCAAACATTACAACATCCTCCCATGGCTACACACAAACCAAGCTCCCCACACTTATATGACAACATGAACTACCAAACATTAAAACATACACGGCTACACACAAACCAAGCTCCCCACACTTATATGACAACATGAACTACCAAACATTACAACATCCTCCCATGGCTACACACAAACCAAGCTCCCCACACTTATATGACAACATGAACTACCAAACATTACAACATCCTCCCATGGCTACACACAAACCAAGCTCCTCACACTTATATGACAACATGAACTACCAAACATTAAAACATACACGGCTACACACAAACCAAGCTCCTCACACTTATATGACAACATGAACTACCAAACATTAAAACATACACGGCTACACACAAACCAAGCTCCTCACACTTATATGACAACATGAACTACCAAACATTAAAACATACACGGCTACACACAAACCAAGCTCCCCACACTTATATGACAACATGAACTACCAAACATTACAACATCCTCCCATGGCTACACACAAACCAAGCTCCTCACACTTATATGACAACATGAACTACCAAACATTAAAACATACACGGCTACACACAAACCAAGCTCCCCACACTTATGTGACAACATGAACTACCAAACATTAAAACATACACGGCTACACACAAACCAAGCTCCCCACACTTATATGACAACATGAACTACCAAACATTACAACATCCTCCCATGGCTACACACAAACCAAGCTCCTCACACTTATATGACAACATGAACTACCAAACATTAAAACATACACGGCTACACACAAACCAAGCTCCTCACACTTATATGACAACATGAACTACCAAACATTAAAACATACACGGCTACACACAAACCAAGCTCCCCACACTTATATGACAACATGAACTACCAAACATTAAAACATACACGGCTACACACAAACCAAGCTCCCCACACTTATGTGACAACATGAACTACCAAACATTAAAACATACACGGCTACACACAAACCAAGCTCCCCACACTTATGTGACAACATGAACTACCAAACATTAAAACATACACGGCTACACACAAACCAAGCTCCTCACACTTATATGACAACATGAACTACCAAACATTAAAACATACACGGCTACACACAAACCAAGCTCCTCACACTTATATGACAACATGAACTACCAAACATTAAAACATACACGGCTACACACAAACCAAGCTCCTCACACTTATATGACAACATGAACTACCAAACATTAAAACATACACGGCTACACACAAACCAAGCTCCCCACACTTATATGACGACATGAACTACCAAACATTACAACATCCTCCCATGGCTACACACAAACCAAGCTCCTCACACTTATATGACGACATGAACTACCAAACATTACAACATCCTCCCATGGCTACACACAAACCAAGCTCCTCACACTTATATGACAACATGAACTACCAAACATTAAAACATACACGGCTACACACAAACCAAGCTCCCCACACTTATATGACAACATGAACTACCAAACATTACAACATACACGGCTACACACAAACCAAGCTCCCCACACTTATATGACAACATGAACTACCAAACATTACAACATCCTCCCATGGCTACACACAAACCAAGCTCCCCACACTTATATGACAACATGAACTACCAAACATTACAACATCCTCCCATGGCTACACACAAACCAAGCTCCCCACACTTATATGACGACATGAACTACCAAACATTACAACATCCTCCCATGGCTACACACAAACCAAGCTCCTCACACTTATATGACGACATGAACTACCAAACATTACAACATCCTCCCATGGCTACACACAAACCAAGCTCCTCACACTTATATGACAACATGAACTACCAAACATTAAAACATACACGGCTACACACAAACCAAGCTCCCCACACTTATATGACAACATGAACTACCAAACATTACAACATACACGGCTACACACAAACCAAGCTCCCCACACTTATATGACAACATGAACTACCAAACATTACAACATCCTCCCATGGCTACACACAAACCAAGCTCCCCACACTTATATGACGACATGAACTACTTACAAAGACAAGCCTCCCTCCCTCGGAGTTGAGTTTCTTAAGCTCCTCCCGTAGATCTGCAAGTTTGAGCTTAAGGTTAACAACCTGCTGGTCAGTTAAACCAAACAGTCCAGAGCTTGACCAGTCCCAGTCCGGCCAGTTGTCCTCACTCCAGTCTGTGGAACAGATCAGGTCACAAGTAGAACAGGTCACAAGTAGAACAGGTCACAAGTAGAACAGGTCAAAAGTAGAACAGGTCAAAAGTAGAACAGGTCAAAAGTAGAACAGGTCAAAAGTAGAACAGGTCACAAGTAGAACAGGTCACAAGTAGAACAGGTCACAAGTAGAACAGGTCACAAGTAGAACAGGTCACAAGTAGAACAGGTCAAAAGTAGAACATGTCACAAGTAGAACAGGTCACAAGTAGAACAGGTCACAAGTAGAACATGTCAAAAGTAGAACAGGTCACAAGTAGAACATGTCACAAGTAGAACAGGTCACAAGTAGAACAGGTCACAAGTAGAACATGTCAAAAGTAGAACAGGTCACAAGTAGAACAGGTAACAAGTAGAACAGGTCACAAGTAAAACAGGTCACAAGTAGAACATGTCACAAGTAGAACAGGTCACAAGTAGAACAGGTCACAAGTAGAACATGTCACAAGTAGAACAGGTCACAAGTAGAACAGGTCACAAGTAGAACAGGTCACAAGTAGAACAGGTAACAAGTAGAACAGGTCACAAGTAGAACAGGTCACAAGTAGAACAGGTCACAAGTAGAACAGGTCACAAGTAGAACAGGTCACAAGTAGAACAGATAAAAAGTAGAACAGGTCACAAGTAGAACAGATAAAAAGTAGAACAGGTCACAAGTAGAACAGATAAAAAATAGAACAGGTCACAAGTAGAACAGATCAGGTTGCAATTAGATAAAATCATTTTGCAAGTAGAACAAGCATAAGTCCTGCTTGATATGCCCGAACAATGCCTCAATTGTTGTTCCATAAGGTTTTCGTCCTTAAAGGGACATTACGCGTGTTGATTCAGTAAGACTCAATAATTTCACGTTTACCTCCCCTAAATTAAAATCCACTATTATGATTATGTCCAAATGACGGAGAGAACCACGAACTTTGAGGCGAGAATGGCAATAGTTGATCAACATGTCAGAGGCGAGGCGGGGGCGGGGGGTGCGGAACGCATCGGGTGACACCATTTAGGGGGGTGACACCAAGACAAAAAATTGCAATATATATAGAATAAATGTGTTTTTTACAGTTCAGTGGATGGTTAGAGTTAAAAAGTATTTTACTTACATAATGACGATCCCACAAGGAGTGGGAGGGGGTGACACCATGTCGTAAACATGCAAACTACAGAGAAAATAATGCTACACCCGGCTGTATTAACAACCGACTATGAATAAATTTCATTAGAATTAAATGTAAACACTTTAAAGCTTTTACAGGGGGGGGGGAGTAGGCACCAACTACAACATTTACAGGGAAGAAAAAAAGGGGGGGGGTGACACCCGGCCAAGCGACGCCACTGGGTTGATCTCCAAAAATTACTGGCGATATCGAATGCATGATCCCTAAGACTAAAGTTACCTAGGTCTGGGAGAGTAAGTGATAAAACAGTTTTATCTTTTTATTTAGTGGTATTATGCAGTGTCTCTTTCAGACATTTTTATGGGGGAGGGGGGCACTAAAACGTTTTGTTGGGTGGGAGTGGGGGGGGGGGACGCGGCCATTAGTATAGCAATAAATTTTCTATACAAATTTTATATTTCGTTCGAGGGAGAAGGGTAGAAGACTTGTTTCGGAGGGGGGGGGGGGGGGGTTTGCCGAGGAGGTACCTGAAGAAAAATGGTTCAATGTCATGAAAAGTTTGTATAGTTTGTACATTTGGCTGTAATAAGATGACCGCAGGTGAGGGGGGAGGGGTGTAACTTTAGCTCAGCTCTGTTATATGTGCTGTAGATGTGTGGTGGGAGGTAGATGTGTGGTGGGGAGGTAGATGTGTGGGGGGAGGTAGATGTGTGGTGGGAGGTAGATGTGTGGTGGGAGGTAGATGTGTGGTGGGTGGTAGATGTGTGGGGGGAGGTAGATGTGTGGTGGGGAGGTAGATGTGTGGTGGGAGGTAGATGTGTGGGGGAGGTAGATGTGTGGGGGAGGTAGATGTGTGGGGGGAGGTAGATGTGTGGGGGGAGGTAGATGTGTGGGGGGAGGTAGATGTGTGGGGAAGGTAGATGTGTGGGGGGGGGGAGGTAGATATGTGGGGAAGGTAGATGTGTGGGGGGAGGTAGATGTGTGGGGGGGAGGTAGATGTGTGGGGGGAGGTAGATGTGTGGGGGATGTATATGTGTGGGGGGAGGTAGATGTGTTGGGGGAGGTAGATGTGTGGGGGAGGTAGATGTGTGGGGGGTGGTAGATGTGTGGGGGGGAGGTAGATGTGTGGTGGGGAGGTAGATGTGTGGTGGGAGGTAGATGTGTGGGGGAGGTAGATGTGTGGGGGAGGTAGATGTGTGGGGGGAGGTAGATGTGTGGGGGGAGGTAGATGTGTGGGGGGAGGTAGATGTGTGGGGAAGGTAGATGTGTGGGGGGGAGGTAGATATGTGGGGAAGGTAGATGTGTGGGGGGAGGTAGATGTGTGGGGGGGAGGTAGATGTGTGGGGGGAGGTAGATGTGTGGGGGATGTATATGTGTGGGGGGAGGTAGATGTGTGGTGGGGAGGTAGATGTGTGGTGGGAGGTAGATGTGTGGGGGAGGTAGATGTGTGGGGGAGGTAGATGTGTGGGGGGAGGTAGATGTGTGGGGGAGGTAGATGTGTGGGGGAGGTAGATGTGTGGTGGGAGGTAGATGTGTGGTGGGAGGTAGATGTGTGGTGGGAGGTAGATGTGTGGTGGGAGGTAGATGTGTGGTGGGAGGTAGATGTATGGTGGGAGGTAGATGAGTGGGGAAGGTAGATGTGTGGGGGAGGTAGATGTGTGATGGGAGGTAGATGTGTGGGGGAGGTAGATGTGTGGGGGGAGGTAGATGTGTGGGGAAGGTTGATGTGTTGGGGGAGGTAGATGTGTGGGGGAGGTAGATGTGTGGGGGAGGTAGATGTGTGGGGGAGGTAGATTTGTGGGGGGAGGTAGATGTGTGGGGGGAGGTAGATGTGTGGGGGGAGGTAGATGAGTGGGGAAGGTAGATGTGTGGGGGAGGTAGATGTGTGGTGGGAGGTAGATGTGTTGGGGGAGGTAGATGTGTGGGGGGAGGTAGATGTGTGGGGGGGAGGTAGATGTGTGGGGGGTAGATGTGTGGGGGGAGGTAGATGTGTGGGGGGAGGTAGATGTGTGGGGGGAGGTAGATGTGTGGGGAAGGTAGATGTGTGGGGGAGGTAGATGTGTGGGGGAGGTAGATGTGTGGGGGGAGGTAGTTATGTGGGGGGGGGGAGGTAGATGTGTGGTGGGAGGTAGATGTATGGTGGGAGGTATATGTGTGGGGGGTAGATGTGTGGGGGAGGTAGTTGTGTGGGGGGGAGGTAGATGTGTGGGGGAGGTAGATGTGTGGGGGAGGTAGATGTGTGGGGGGAGGTAGATGTGTGGGGGGAGGTAGATGTGTGGGGGGAGGTAGATGTGTGGGGAAGGTAGATGTGTGGGGGGGGGGGAGGTAGATATGTGGGGAAGGTAGATGTGTGGGGGGAGGTAGATGTGTGGGGGGGAGGTAGATGTGTGGGGGGAGGTAGATGTGTGGGGGATGTATATGTGTGGGGGGAGGTAGATGTGTTGGGGGAGGTAGATGTGTGGGGGAGGTAGATGTGTGGGGGGTGGTAGATGTGTGGGGGGGAGGTAGATGTGTGGTGGGGAGGTAGATGTGTGGTGGGAGGTAGATGTGTGGGGGAGGTAGATGTGTGGGGGAGGTAGATGTGTGGGGGGAGGTAGATGTGTGGGGGGAGGTAGATGTGTGGGGGGAGGTAGATGTGTGGGGAAGGTAGATGTGTGGGGGGGAGGTAGATATGTGGGGAAGGTAGATGTGTGGGGGGAGGTAGATGTGTGGGGGGGAGGTAGATGTGTGGGGGGAGGTAGATGTGTGGGGGATGTATATGTGTGGGGGGAGGTAGATGTGTGGTGGGGAGGTAGATGTGTGGTGGGAGGTAGATGTGTGGGGGAGGTAGATGTGTGGGGGAGGTAGATGTGTGGGGGGAGGTAGATGTGTGGGGGAGGTAGATGTGTGGGGGAGGTAGATGTGTGGTGGGAGGTAGATGTGTGGTGGGATGTATATGTGTGGGGGGAGGTAGATGTGTGGTGGGGAGGTAGATGTGTGGTGGGAGGTAGATGTGTGGGGGAGGTAGATGTGTGGTGGGAGGTAGATGTGTGGTGGGAGGTAGATGTATGGTGGGAGGTAGATGAGTGGGGAAGGTAGATGTGTGGGGGAGGTAGATGTGTGATGGGAGGTAGATGTGTGGGGGAGGTAGATGTGTGGGGGGAGGTAGATGTGTGGGGAAGGTTGATGTGTTGGGGGAGGTAGATGTGTGGGGGAGGTAGATGTGTGGGGGAGGTAGATGTGTGGGGGAGGTAGATTTGTGGGGGGAGGTAGATGTGTGGGGGGAGGTAGATGTGTGGGGGGAGGTAGATGAGTGGGGAAGGTAGATGTGTGGGGGAGGTAGATGTGTGGTGGGAGGTAGATGTGTTGGGGGAGGTAGATGTGTGGGGGGAGGTAGATGTGTGGGGGGGGGAGGTAGATGTGTGGGGGGTAGATGTGTGGGGGGAGGTAGATGTGTGGGGGGAGGTAGATGTGTGGGGGGAGGTAGATGTGTGGGGGAGGTAGATGTGTGGGGGGAGGTAGTTATGTGGGGGGGGGAGGTAGATGTGTGGTGGGAGGTAGATGGGTGGGGAAGGTAGATGTGTGGGGGGAGGTAGATGTGTGGGGGGAGGTAGATGTGTGGTGGGAGGTAGAGGTGTGGTGGGAGGTAGATGTGTGGTGGGAGGTAGATGTGTGGTGGGAGGTAGATGTGTGGGGAAGGTAGATGTGTGGGGGGAGGTAGATGTGTGGGTTAGGTAGATGTGTGGGGGAGGTAGATGTGTGGAGGAGGTAGATGTGTGGGGGGAGGTAGATGTGTGGGGGAGGTAGTTGTGTGGGGTAGGTAGATGTGTGGGGGGAGGTAGATGTGTGGGGTAGGTAGATGTGTGGGGGAGGTAGATGTGTGGGGAAGGTAGATGTGTGGGGGGAGGTAGATGTGTGGTGGGAGGTAGATGTGTGGGGAAGGTAGATGTGTTGGGGGAGGTAGATGTGTGGGGGAGGTAGATGTGTGGGGGGAGGTAGATGTGTGGGGAAGGTAGATGTGTGGGGGGAGGTAGATGTGTGGGGGAGGTAGATGTGTGGGGGAGGTAGATGTGTGGGGGGAGGTAGATGTGTGGGGGGAGGTAGTGTGTGGGGAGGTAGATGAGTGGGGGAGGTAGACTCAGCTCTGAACTTGTAACAAGTTGTGTTGGCAATAAAGAAAGCAACTCGCCACAAATTTAGCCAGTGAAAAATTTACCATGAACTTCCTTGAATATCTCGTCCTCGCCAAAGTCGCCACCGTCCATCCAATGTTCGCCAGGCGCCCAGGTCTCCATGAACTCCTCGCCAAACTCCTTCAGATCGGCGACAACAGCAGCCAGCTGATCGTCTGCAACTCTGTGGTTGTTTCCCTTGTCAAAGATGGCAGCGCCCGGTGGCAGGTTGTCAGGAGTTATCCCGAGGTCAAAGGGCGAGAACTCGAATGGAATAAAAGTATCGATTTTATCGAGGTCTTTGATGGTTGAGCCTTGTCGCTTCTCTGTAACATAAATACATGCATACATTACATGTGTGTAAATTATACGTGCCTACATTACATGTGTGTAAATTATACGTGCATAGCCAACAATGCTGATGTTTACAAAAGATATGGGTACGCTTCAAACAGATTGTTGAATATATTCTAATGTAAAACCAAAATCCGATGAAAACAAGAGTTACCTCGCCTCTGCTCGTACAACTGATGAAAGGGGTCGGGGTCTTTGGTAGCGGGTGTGTGGGTCAGCATCAACCTCTGTAGACAGGTGGTAGTGGGTTCAAATATGCACTGATACAGGTAACTCAGGTGATGCTAACTTACGTTTAAACTATCCATTTCTTAATTGATTAGTTCTAAAGTAACCAATGCCAAGTTAACCAATGCTTAAGTAACCAATTCTAAATTACTTCTATTCTAAAGCAACCAAACTGAGGTAACCCCTTACTTTATTTAAGATATCAGTTTCTCTCTTTATAACAGATATGTCGCTGTTTAATTTCTGTTCTCCTAGAATGACCTTGACCGTTTCCTGTCTGACCTTCTCGTGCTCCTTCTTCAACCTACAACAAACATCCAACATATCAGATGTAAAACATACAATATATGACATGTACAACATCCAACATATCAGATGTACATTATCCAACATATCAGATGTTCAACATACAACATATCAGATGTTCAACATACAACATATCAGATGTTCAACATACAACATATCAGATGTACAACATACAACATATCAGATGTACAACATACAACATATCAGATGTACAACATCCAACATATCAGATGTACATTATCCAACATATCAGATGTACATTATTCAACATATCAGATGTACAACATAGAACACAAAAATATATTACACCTAGATCATCCAACACATCCAAGTGTAGTGAGATTCAAAACATTCATATAGCGCCAGTATCATGTTATAGCGCTAGTATCATTGTCTAAAGAAATCCACATCAAAAGCTATAAATACCTGAGAACTATTTCTTCCTGTTTTGTGACGTCAGAACTTTCTTTACTCAGGACAGGAGCTATGTGAGTCTCGGACTCCAAGTTTTTACCAAACTTCGTCAGTAGGCTTAGCTAGGTGGGGCGGGTGGGTGGATTGAGTTAGTACATTACTAAACGATTGAAGAATTCGTTAAGTTAATAATTTAAAAATTAATTAGCCCTTAATTAGTTAGCGTAAGAAGAAAAAAACCCGATACAACACGTCCGAAAAATGACACGAAAACCCCCTCTCTTGTACAAAACACACACACACACACACTCAGACAAACTTACCAACTCCTGTAGAGCCTCAACCTTCTGTGTTGCTATTTTTAGCCTCTTGGCCTCCCTCTCTGATTGTAACTTCCGCCTCTCCTGCAAAAAATGACGTCATCGATACAAACAGATCGAATGTAATCACAGATCAATCAGTTCGTGTAGCAGTAAAAAAAAAATCATACCTTGCCGGACATTAACTTCTGCTTGTGTTTCTCATAATCTGCTAATCTGTGAGGGGAGAGAGAGAGAGACGCTTAGATTTTTAACTGCTCAAACTGTATTGTAGCAGATTAAATGGAACTAAACGTGTGTTCTAGTGTCAAGCAGTTAAAAATCTGAGAGTTGTTGATTTGTGTTAGGACAGCCTGTCGTGTTGCATTATCTGAAGACATCTGACAGGTTGAAGGATTGTGGAAATCGTGGTTGTATATATAGGGCAACTGTTGTATATGGCAAGTTTTGCGGATTGTTTCATTGTTGTATATGGCAAGTTCAACGAATTATATAACAACCGTATATTGCCAAGATCAGCGGATTGTGTAATTGTTGTATATGACTAGATCAGCAGATCGAGTAACTGTCTGATATGACAAATTCAACGGATTGTGTTACTCTCTGTATATGACTAGTTCAGCGGAATGTGTAACTCTCTGTATATGTCTAGTTCAGCGGATTGTTTAACTGTATATGAAAAGTTCAGAGGATTGTGTAACTGTATATGAAAAGTTCAGCGGATTGTGTAACTGTATATGACAAGTTCAGCGGATTGTGTACCTGTATATGACAAGTTCAGCGGATTGTGTAACTGTATGTGACCAGTTCAGCGGATTGTGTAACTGTATATGACAAGTTCAGCGGATTGTGTAACTGTATGTGACCAGTTCAGCGGATTGTGTAACTGTATATGACCAGCTCAACGGATTGTGTAACTCTATATGACCAGTTCAGCGGATTGTGTAACTCTATATGACAAGTTCAGCGGATTGTGTAACTGTATATGACCAGTTCAGCGGAATGTGTAACTTATATGACCAGTTCAGCGGATTGTGTAACTCTATATGACAAGTTCAGCGGATTTTGTAACTGTATATGACCAGTTCAGCGGATTGTGTAACTCTATATGACCAGTTCAGCGGATTGTGTAACTCTATATGACAAGTTCAGCGGATTGTGTAACTGTATATGACCAGTTCAGCGGATTGTGTAACTGTATATGACAAGTTCAGCGGATTGTGTAACTGTATGTGACCAGTTCAGCGGATTGTGTAACTGTATATGACAAGTTCAGCGGATTGTGTAACTGTATATGACCGGTTCAGCGGATTGTGTAACTGTATATGACAAGTTCAGCGGATTTTGTAACTGTATATGACCAGTTCAGCGGATTGTGTAACTCTATATGACCAGTTCAGCGGATTGTGTAACTCTATATGACAAGTTCAGCGGATTGTGTAACTGTATATGACCAGCTCAACGGATTGTGTAACTGTATATGACCAGTTCAGCGGATTGTGTAACTGTATATGACCAGTTCAGCGGATTGTGTAACTGTATATGACTAGTTCAGCGGATTGTGTAACTGTATATGACCAGTTCAGCGGATTGTGTAACTGCCGGATATGACAGGCAGTAGTAAATCCTACAGACAGCAAACAACGACTGAGCTATTTCTTTCGGTGTCACTGACAGTTTTACAACCTGAAAGAGTTTGGTTAGATCGATAGCTTACCCCCCCCCCCTCCTTAACACTTCCTCCCCCTCCATGTTCTTATAACTTCTCCACCTTCTCCGCTTAGTGTCAGTATAGCAGCGGCTAGCGTGTCAAGTTACAGACAGGCTTTTCTTCCTTAGGGCTCACACAATACATCAGACATATTAGCCGGCTGGTTTGTTGTGTTTGTCGTTTCTTTGTAAGCAAAAATACTTGCATAATTACCCTATCAACTGATCCCCCCCACCTTCCACACATTCCCCAGACACACACACACACAGACACACAGACAGACAGACACAAGAAGAAGCAGGAAGAAGCAAACGTTACCTTCTTTTCTTGGCCAGCAAGGATGCAGGTGAGATATTGTCCGGGACGTATTGAAAGACATCGGCTGGACCGGTCAGAGACAGACCTGGGCAGGTAGACAGTTAGGCAATTAGTCAGTATAGGACAGGTGGGCAGACAGTCAGACAATTAGTCAGGCTTGGATAGGTGGGCAGACAATTAGCATAGGACAGGTGGGCAGACAATTAGTCAAAAAATTAGCATAGGACAGGTGGGCAGACAGTTAGTCTGTGCCACCAAACACCTGGATTGACATGTCAGTGCCACCAAACACCTGGATTGGCTGACATGTCAGTGCCACCAAACACCTGGACTGACATGTCAGTGGCACCAAACACCTGGACTGACATGTCAGTGCCACCAAACACCTGGACTGACATGTCAGTGCCACCAAGCGACATCACCTGTTTTGACAGCACGTGTCAGGTGGCAGGCGATGCTGAACTCGTCTGGACCCAGCTTCCCGTCACGGTTGAGATCCGACAGGTCCCAGATGTGAACCAGACACTCTGCCGTCAGCTGACTTGACGCCAACACATCCGCCGCCGTCTGCCCTGAAACAGATCATTTTTTGGATGGTTTCAACATCCAGCAGTTCAATCAAGGGGAGGTAACACAATGCTCTAAGTAATTTTATTTTTTTCATGGTTATTTCCCCTGCCGTTATAAACCTAGTTAACAAATCTAATTTTAACCGTCGAAAAGCTCTGGAGTTACTTAGCCTTGCTAAGTTTTAAAAGGATGATTAATTAGAAATGACGTCATATGTTAATTAGACAGCATAAGGTCTTTAAAGAAGGTGTGTCACTTGAGTTATATGTAGGGATACTTATGACGAGATAAGCTTCTATTACAATAAAACATTTTTTTTTTTGCTGTGCCGACCGACGAGATCACGTGATAAAACTTTTTTTCTTTTAATCTTTAGGGTCGGGGAACGAAACCTTGAAAGAAAAACATTTTCTGCACAAGGACTTAAAATTTATGGATACCTCTGCACTGCACAAGTGTGTTTGCATTTGCAGAATGCAATGTTTTTTTGTTGTTGTTGTTGCAAATTTGAGGTACAAGTTAAACGACTCACCTGAAATAACACCTGTCACTCACCTGATACAACACCTGCCACTCACCTGATATAACACCTGCCACTCACCTGACATAACACCTGCCACTCACCTGATATAACACCTGCCACTCACCTGAAATAACACCTGCCACTCACCTGATACAACACCTGCCGCTCACCTGATACAACACCTGCCACTCACCTGAAATAACACCTGTCACTCACCTGATATAACACCTGCCACTCACCTGATATAACACTTGCCACTCAGCTGAAATAACACCTGCCACTCACCTGATATAACACCTGCCACTCACCTGACATAACACCTGCCATTCACCTGATATAACACCTGCCACTCCCCTGATATAACACCTGCCACTCACCTGATACAACACCTGCCACTCACCTGATACAACACCTGCCACTCACCTGATATAACACCTGCCACTCACCTGATATAACACCTGCCACTCACCTGATATAACACCTGCCACTCACCTGATATAACACCTGCCACTCACCTGATATAACACCTGACTTGTCTCTATCCAAGGACTGAAAGACACGATGGTAGGCAAGTTTTTCCGCCTGGCTCATGGCTGGTAGAGGGACGGGCGGGGTTTTGGGTGGGGTCAATGACCTGGGCAGGGTTTTGGGCAGCGTCAGACCCTGCTTGGCGCCCCGCGTGAGGTGCATGACGAGGGCGAACTCGTGCACGTTCAGGACGTTGTCATTGCTCACGTCTGCCAGGTTCCTGCAAGGTCAAGGTCAATCGGGTCATGATCACAGACACGAACAACTCACAACAAATAAACGAGAGACAACCCAACTCAACACATTATAAAGGTACTGTCTTGCTGTCTTACAACAGATGAAAACACCTGTGTGGCTGTCCTACTTTATATTAAAACACCTGTGTGACTGTCCTACAACATATTAAAACACCTGTGTAGCTGTCCTAAAACAGATTAAAACACCTGTGTGACTGTCCTAAAACAGATGAAAACACCTGTGTGGCTGTCCTACTTTATATTAAAACACCTGTGTGACTGTCCTACAACATATTAAAACACCTGTGTAGCTGTCCTAAAACATATTAAAACACCTGTGTGACTGTCCTAAAACAGATGAAAACACCTGTGTGGCTGTCCTACTTGATATTAAAACACCTGTGTGACTGTCCTACTTTATATTAAAACACCTGTGTGACTGTCCTACAACATATTAAAACACCTGTGTAGCTGTCCTAAAACATATTAAAACACCTGTGTGACTGTCCTAAAACAGATGAAAACACCTGTGTGGCTGTCCTACTTGATATTAAAACACCTGTGTGACTGTCCTACTTTATATTAAAACACCTGTGTGGCTGTCCTACTTGATATTAAAACACCTGTGTGACTGTCTTACAACAGACAAAAACACCTGTGTGACTGTCCTACAACAGACGAAAACACCTGTGTGGCTGTCCTAAAACAGACGAAAACACCTGTGTGGCTGTCCTAAAACAGACGAAAACACCTGTGTGGCTGTCCTAAAACAGATTAAAACACCTGTGTGACTGTCCTACTTGATATTAAAACACCTGTGTGACTGTCTTACAACAGACGAAAACACCTGTGTGGCTGTCCTAAAACAGATTAAAACACCTGTGTGACTGTCCTACTTGATATTAAAACACCTGTGTGACTGTCCTACTTTATATTAAAACACCTGTGTGACTGTCCTACTTGATATTAAAACACCTGTGTGACTGTCCTACAACAGACGAAAACACCTGTGTGACTGTCTTACAACAGACGAAAACACCTGTGTGGCTGTCCTAAAACAGATTAAAACACCTGTGTGACTGTCCTACTTGATATTAAAACACCTGTGTGACTGTCCTACTTTATATTAAAACACCTGTGTGACTGTCCTACTTGATATTAAAACACCTGTGTGACTGTCCTACTTTATATTAAAACACCTGTGTGACTGTCCTACTTGATATTAAAACACCTGTGTGGCTGTCCTAAAACAGATTAAAACACCTGTGTGACTGTCTTACAACAGACGAAAACACCTGTGTGGCTGTCCTAAAACAGATTAAAACACCTGTGTGACTGTCTTACAACAGATTAAAACACCTGTGTGACTGTCCTAAAACAGATTAAAACACCTGTGTGACTGTCCTACTTGATATTAAAACACCTGTGTGACTGTCCTACAACAGATTAAAACACCTGTGTGACTGTCCTACTTTATATTAAAACACCTGTGTGACTGTCCTACTTGATATTAAAACACCTGTGTGGCTGTCTTACAACAGACGAAAACACATTGTGTGGCTGTCTTACAACAGACGAAAACACCTGTGTGACTTTCTTACAACAGACGAAAACACCTGTGTGACTGTCTTACAACAGACGAAAACACCTGTGTGACTTTCTTACAACAGATGAAAACACCTGTGTGACTGTCCTACTTGATATTAAAACACCTGTGTGGCTGTCTTACAACAGACGAAAACACCTGTGCGGCTGTCTTACAAAAGACGAAAACACATTGTGTGAGACAGGTTATAAAATGCCAACAATGCCCCTTGTGTTACCGGTGCATTAAGATGAGTTTGAGATTACAGGCAGGTATTCTTTCATACAGGTTGTCGCCCTGTGTGTATTGGTTGTCGCCCCTGAAAAAGTGATATTCGCCCTTTGACCAGTTAACAACACACAATTCATTTGTTTGAATATTTTGTGTCCTCTTGTAGAAAAAAAATTGTTTAGCAATAAAAAATGTAACCGAGTTTTTTGGTGTTGATTCTGAGTTGGGTCATCCATTTAATGACTTGGCTCTCCACATGTTTTTGCCACATGTGTAGATATGCTAAATCACACATCTCACACCGTCCCTTCACCCCTCCCATCATATAGCCTTATCTTTTTATCACACTTCCTTCTATAATCCACATTTTTCCGTGGCACAGTACAAATTTGGCAGACGACACAATCTGTATTGTTCCGTTTCAAAAAGATAAACCATTTTTTATTGTTAACTAGCAGTTGTCAGACAGGCCTCAACAAACAAGGGAAGTCACTCCAAAATTGTTCTCGAAGCTTCCTTTGACAGCTTTTTATGATCCAGATGTTTGCGGTCCTAACACGGCCCTAACAACAACACGGTGACGTCATCAGCTGGACAGGCCTTCCTCAAACATCAGCCCGTCAAAATAAATCGTTGGCAATTTTCCTGGTATTGTGATAATAGCAGGCAATTTCTGCTGGTATTGTGATAATAGCAGACAATTTCTGCTGGTATTGTGAAAATAGCAGGCAATTTCTTCTGGTATTGTGATAATAGCAGGCAATTTCTCCTGGTATTGTGATAATAGCAGGCAATTTCTTCTGGTATTGTGATAATAGCAGGCAATTTCTCCTGGTATTGTGATAATAGCCAGGCAATTTCTCCTGGTATTGTGATAATAGCAGGCAATTTCTCCTGGTATTGTGATAATAGCAGGCAATTTCTCCTGGTATTGTGATAATAGCAGGCAATTTCTCCTGGTATTGTGATAATAGCCAGGCAATTTCTCCTGGTATTGTGATAATAGCAGGCAATTTCTGCTGGTATTGTGATAATAGCAGGCAATTTCTCCTGGTATTGTGATAATAGCAGGCAATTTCTCCTGGTATTGTGATAATAGCTGGCAATTTCTCCTGGTATTGTGATAATAGCAGGCAATTTCTCCTGGTATTGTGATAATAGCAGGCAATTTCTGCTGGTATTGTGATAATAGCAGGCAATTTCTCCTGGTATTGTGATAATAGCAGGCAATATCTGCTGGTATTGTGATAATAGCAGGCAATTTCTCCTGGTATTGTGATAATAGCCAGGCAATTTCTCCTGGTATTGTGATAATAGCAGGCGATTTCTCCTGGTATTGTGATAATAGCCAGGCAATTTCTCCTGGTATTGTGATAATAGCAGGCAATATCTGCTGGTATTGTGATAATAGCAGGCAATTTCTGCTGGTATTGTGATAATAGCCAGGCAATTTCTCCTGGTATTGTGATAATAGCAGGCAATTTCTCCTGGTATTGGGATAATAGCAGGCAATTTCTTCTGGTAGTGTGATAATAGCAGGCAATTTCTCCTGGTATTGTGATAATAGCAGGCAATTTCTGCTGGTATTGTGATAATAGCTGGCAATTTCTGCTGGTATTGTGATAATAGCAGGCAATTTCTCCTGGTATTGTGATAATAGCAGGCAATTTCTCCTGGTATTGTGATAATAGCCAGGCAATTTCTTCTGGTATTGTGATAATAGCAGGCAATTTCTGCTGGTATTGTGAAAATAGCAGGCAATTTCTGCTGGTATTGTGATAATAGCCAGGCAATTTCTCCTGGTATTGTGATAATAGCAGGCAATTTCTCCTGGTATTGTGATAATAGCAGGCAATTTCTGCTGGTATTGTGATAATAGCCAGGCAATTTCTCCTGGTATTGTGATAATAGCCAGGCAATTTCTGCTGGTATTGTGATAATAGCCAGGCAATTTCTGCTGGTATTGTGATAATAGCCAGGCAATTTCTCCTGGTATTGTGATAATAGCAGGCAATTTCTGCTGGTATTGTGATAATAGCCAGGCAATTTCTCCTGGTATTGTGATAATAGCAGGCAATATCTGCTGGTATTGTGATAATAGCAGGCAATTTCTGCTGGTATTGTGATAATAGCAGGCAATTTCTTCTGGTATTGTGATAATAGCAGGCAATTTCTTCTGGTAGTGTGATAATAGCAGGCAATTTCTCCTGGTATTGGGATAATAGCAGGCAATTTCTCCTGGTATTGTGATAATAGCAGGCAATTTCTCCTGGTATTGTGATAATAGCCAGGCAATTTCTCCTGGTATTGTGATAATAGCAGGCAATTTCTCCTGGTATTGTGATAATAGCAGGCAATTTCTGCTGGTATTGTGATAATAGCCAGGCAATTTCTCCTGGTATTGTGATAATAGCCAGGCAATTTCTCCTGGTATTGTGATAATAGCAGGCAATTTCTCCTGGTATTGTGATAATAGCCAGGCAATTTCTCCTGGTATTGTGATAATAACAGGCAATTTCTCCTGGTATTGTGATAATAGCAGGCAATTTCTGCTGGTATTGTGATAATAGCAGGCAATTTCTGCTGGTATTGTGATAATAGCAGGCAATTTCTGCTGGTATTGTGATAATAGCTGGCAATTTCTCCTGGTATTGTGATAATAGCCAGGCAATTTCTCCTGGTATTGTGATAATAGCAGGCAATTTCTCCTGGTATTGTGATAATAGCCAGGCAATTTCTCCTAGTATTGTGATAATAGCAGGCAATTTCTCCTGGTATTGTGATAATAGCAGGCAATTTCTCCTGGTATTGTGATAATAGCCAGGCAATTTCTCCTAGTATTGTGATAATAGCAGGCAATTTCTCCTGGTATTGTGATAATAGCCAGGCAATTTCTCCTGGTATTGTGATAATAACAGGCAATTTCTCCTGGTATTGGGATAATAGCAGGCAATTTCTCCTGGTATTGTGATAATAGCAGGCAATTTCTCCTGGTATTGTGATAATAACAGGCAATTTCTCCTGGTATTGGGATAATAGCAGGCAATTTCTCCTGGTATTGTGATAATAGCAGGCAATGTCTCCTGGTATTGTGATAATAGCAGGCAATTTCTCCTGGTATTGGGATAATAGCAGGCAATTTCTCCTGGTATTGGGATAATAGCAGGCAATTTCTCCTGGTATTGTGATAATAGCAGGCAATTTCTCCTGGTATTGGGATAATAGCAGGCAATTTCTCCTGGTATTGGGATAATAACAGTTCATTTTGCTGGGCAACAAGCAGTAGTGACTTTTTGCATCTGTTGGTTGTAGGTCGTAGTTGGTTGTAGCTGTTGGTAGCTGCTTGTGGCTAGTGCTAGCTGGTGGTAGAAGGTGGTAGCTGGTTGTAGCTGTTGGTAGCTGCTTGTGGCTAGTGCTAGCTGGTGGTAGCTGGTGGTAGCTGGGGGTAGCTGTTGGTAGCTGCTTGTGGCTAGTGCTAGCTGGTGGTAGCTTGTTGCAGGTCAATTAAACCTAACCTTGCTGCTGTATTTATATTTTCCAATTGTTGGCTAGAGGTGAACTAAACACCATTGTTTGTCACACGTTTATCTGGCTAGGCGTTGATTTAAAATCTGGCCATAATTCAACACCATGGCCCTTTGTATGGGTACTGTTTGCGTTTAGTGAGCAGAGGATAGAAAATTCACGCACAAAAATTGTATTACAATATTATTTTTTATTTGGTATTTTTACTCGAAGATCATCAAAGTCATTAATAATTAAAGCACGACGTTGACAGGGCATATTTTGACAAAAACAACTTTTGATTGTAGGTTTGATTAATTAAAAAAATAATTATTGAGCTTAATTGTGTTATTGGCTCGTGAGATATCGTGGCTTAAGTTATTTAATCTCAGCTTTGTACGGATATTTTTTAGTTAGGTTCACAGTACGTTGTTGGCAGATCATGGTTCTTTGATCACGTGATACAAGGGGTCTACAGCAACACGGGGTGGGTTGTCTAACCCAACCACGGGGTGGGTTGTCTAACCCAACCACGGGGTGGGTTGTCTAACTAATTCGATTCTCCACCCACTGGTCCAGTAGTTGGTGTAAGACGTCACGCTGACGTCACAGTGTCCGCCATGTTGACAGTGACAGCCCTACAACAGAGACCTGTCAGTCCACTTGACACCAAACATCGGCCGGGGTCAAGTTTAGCGTGTCGAGTCTTTTGTCCCTAATCACGACTTTCTTGTCACCCCTCCACCATCCCCCTCCCCCCTCCATATCCCCGCGTTAATCAGGATTGTTGGCATAGACCGGTTAAATTTGCCGACACGGCTAACGTGCCGGTTGTATTTTGTTGTCCAGTCTATCGGCATGTAGCAGAGAAGAATTATAAGACAATTTGAACAAAACGTGTTTGTATTGGTAGTTAATAGTTAATTTCTGTTAAATGTCGAGTGTCCAAAATTATTTTCAAATTTCTACGATCTTTTCCCGCATATTCCCTAATCGTGAGAACTTAATGGGATTTAGACAGACTTATTACTTGTTAAATACTCAATAACAACTAACTAGTTTAGAAGAGTTCCGATTGAATGGTAGGGTGGGTTATTCGGGTACCCATTAGGGCAGGATGGGTTAGTCGGGTACCCATTAGGGCTGAGTGGACTAGTCGGTTACCCATTAGGGCTGGGAGGGTTAGTCGGGTACCCATTAGGGCAAGGTGGGTTAGTCGGGTACCCATTAGGGCAGGGTGGGTTAGTCGGGTACCCATTAGGGCTGGGTGGGTTAGTCGGGTACCCATTAGAGCTGGGTGGACTAGTCGGGTACCCATGTGGGTTGGGTGGACTAGTCGGGTACCCATTAGGGCAGGGTGGGTTAGTTGGGTACCCATTAGGGCTGGGTGGACTAGTCGGGTACCCATTAGGGCTGGGTGGACTAGTCGGGTACCCATTAGAGCTGGGTGGACTAGTCGGGTACCCATTCGGGCAGGGTGGACTAGTTGGGTACCAATTAGGGCTCGGTTGGTCAGTCGGGTAACCATTAGGGCTGGATGGACTAGTTGGGTACCTATTAGGGCTGGGTGGACTAGTCGGGTAACCATTAGGGCTGGGTGGACTAGTCGGGTACCCATTAGGGCTGGGTGGACTAGTCGGGTACCCATGTGGGCTGGGTGGATTAGTCGGGTACCCATTAGGGCTGGGTGGGTTAGTCGGGTACCCATTAGAGCTGGGTGGACTAGTCGGGTACCCATGTGGGTTGGGTGGACTAGTCGGGTACCCATTAGGGCTGGGTGGATTAGTCGGGTACCCATTAGGGCTGGATGGACTAGTCGGGTACCCATTAGGGCTGAGTTGGTCAGTCGGGTACAACCGTGAGACGTACCAGGCCGCCACTAGCCAACAGCACGTCATGTAACTGCCAGCTACCTGAGTGGCCATTGTCCAGGTTCAAGAAACCGGATGTCACATGACCCGTGGCTCACAATACTCCTGTGTGCGTCACGTTTTGTTATTCGTTTTATAAAAGCGATCTCAGGACACCCGTTATTTGTGGGGTGGAGTGGGGGGGGGGGCGTCAAATTACCGTGGGACAGGAAGGAGTCGCCAGTTACCCCAGCACCTACCCGCCCCACACACAATATAAACTAACTGGACCCCCCCCCCCAAACAAAAACACCAGGACGGTGTCCCCACGCTGCCCGTTGAACATGAGGGTTGGGTGTTAATCGGGACAGGAAATAGAAATGTTCTATCAAACACGTGATCTAGGGTTGACGTGACGTAAAATGTTTGTCCCCCCCCCCCCCTGGAAAAAATAACATCCTACAGGAAATATAATGCTTAGTTTTAGCAAATGATTGGTCAATTCTGATACACATCAACACCGATATTTCTGTCATAACCCCCCCCCCCCCCCCCCCATTTACATCCCCATCCTCAATGTAAAAACCAGTCAAGACAGCGCTAAATTACAAAATGAGGAAGGTTGAGAGTGAGGTTGAGAGGAGATGATGTGTGTGTGGGGTGGGGGGGTGTTAATCGCTGCATGTAGAGCCGTTTCCTTGTATGGTTACAGAGTTTAGGTAGTTGGAAACTAATGCAAACCCAATTTGATAACATGCAAGGTGTTTGTTCCCGCCCCCCCCCCCCCATTATTTACTTTGTCCCCCCCCCCTCCCTGTTGCCGGGCTGGCTTCTACTTTCACTTTGATTGGCGTGGGCGTGGTTTTATTTCTTCTCAATTCCCACCCACCCCCTTTCAAACACACAATCACACACGTACAGCTGGCGCCACAACACACACACACGAACCACAGACACACATAACAACCTCATCTAGTGCTGAAGGCGACTTGCTCGTATAATGAAGGTTTGATTTGTCCCCCCCCCCCCTCAAACACACAATCACACACGTACAGCTGGCGCCCCAATACACATACACACACCCCCCACACAGACACACATAACAACCTCATCCAATTCTGAAGGCGACGTGCTCGTATAATGAAGGTTTGATTTGTCCCTAAAGTGACATTGACCTTTGATCTGACCCCACACTGACCAAGATGAAACGGTCAGGAGATTTTTCTTAAGCCACAGACAACAGCTCAAATACTGGACCACGTGACGTCACCAGCTGGTCTGCGCCTCACACATTGTTGCCATGGGTTACGCCGCGACAGTGTCCAGATTTTATACCTGAGTTTTTTTTTAATTCAATCAAATTAAAAGCATATTAAAAATATATTACCAGATTTGGCTGAGGACAGTCAAAGATAATCCAGATTTGAGAAAAAAGTCTCGGATTCCTTCCCCTGTGGATGGATGAAATAGAAACAATGGATGAAATAGAAACAATGGATGAAATAGGAACAATGGATGAAATAGAAACAATGGATGATCTGTTGTGTTCACAGTGCACTCTCTCTCTCTCTCTCTCTCTCTCTCTCTCTCTCTCTCTATCCCTGCTCCTCACCCTCTCTATTGCACATTCATTCTCTTTTCCCTTCCCTTCCCATCCCTCACCCCACCCCCACATAGCTCTGTCTCTGTGAAAGAAACTTTCTACCATATTATGTCCGGCAACAAAAGCTAACCATTGAAATAACTGAAATCTGATAGTTTGCTGTTGTATAAACTTGCACTAAGATAATCGTGAGGTTTACTGTAAATTTTATTGGGTTGGGGTGAGATTAGGATTATGCTAAGGTTTACTGTAAATTTTATTGGGTTGATGTGAGATATGGATTATACTAAGGTTTACCGTACATTCTATTGTGTTGAGGTGAGATTAGGATTATGCTAAGGTTTACTGTAAATTTTATTGTGTTGAGGTGAGATTAGGATTATACTAAGGTTTACTGTAAATTTTATTGGGTTGAGGTGAGATTAAGATTATGCTAAGGTTTACTGTAAATTTTATTGTGTGGAGGTGAGATTAGGATTATGCTAAGGTTTACTGTAAATTTTATTGGGTTGAGGTGAGATTAGGATTATGCTAAGGTTTACTGTAAATTTTATTGGGTTGAGATCAGGTTAGGATTATGCTAAGGTTTACCGTAAATTTTATTGGGTTGAGATCAGGTTAGGATTATGCTAAGGTTTACTGTAAATTTTATTGTGTTAAGGTGAGATTAGGATTATACTAAGGTTTACTGTAAATTTTACTGGGTTGAGATCAGGTTAGGATTATAAAGTTTACTGTAGCATGGAATTAACGTAAGTTGTGTTATCACGTGGGTCGGGGAGATGGTGTGGAAAGTGATGTGGTTGTTTGATGTGGTTGTTTAATGTGGTTGTTTGATGTGGTTGTTTAATGTGGTTGTTTAATGTGGTTGTTTAATGTGGTTGTTTAATGTGGTTGTTTAATGTGGTTGTTTAATGTGGTTGTTTAATGTGGTTGTTTAATGTGGTTGTTTAATGTGGTTGTTTAATGTGGTTGTTTAATGTGGTTGTTTAATGTGGTTGTTTAATGTGGTTGTTTAATGTGGTTGTTTAATGTGGTTGTTTAATGTGGTTGTTTAATGTAACCGTTAAGTTTTTGGGTCAATGATTAAAGTTATATTGTAGCCAGAAGTAGCCATTAAGTTTTTGGGTCAATAATTAAAGTTATATTGTAGACAGATGTAGCCATAAGTTTTTGTGTCAATGGTTAAAGTTATATTGTAGCCAGAAGTAGCACGGACTGACCTAGGATGTAGCCATCGACTGGACCCTGGCTGTAGAATAACAGCTCATACAGAGTTCTCTGCCGCTGGCTCAAGGGCGGCCACACTTCATCTGGGGACACAAAGAGAAGATTGGAATTACAGAGGTGTACATAGGTGGGGGTGTACATAGGTGGGGGTGTACATAGGTGGGGGTGTACATAGGTGGGGTGTACATAGGTGGGGGTGTACATAGGTGGGGGTGTACATAGGTGGGGTGTACATGTGTGGGGATGTTAAGTGTACATGGGTGGGGGTGTACATAGGTGGGGGTGTACATAGGTGGGGTGTACATAGGTGGGGGTGTACATAGGTGGGGTGTACATAGGTGGGGGTGTACATAGGTGGGGTTGTCAGGTGTACATGGGTGGGGGTGTACATGGATGAGGTGTACATAGGTGGGGGTGTACATAGGTGGGGTGTACATAGGTGGGGTGTACATAGGTGGGGGTGTACATAGGTGGGATGTACATAGGTGGGGGTGTACATAGGTGGGGGTGTCAGGTGTACATAGGTGGGGTGTCAGGTGTACATAGGTGGGGTGTACATAGGTGGGGGTGTACATAGGTGGGATGTACATAGGTGGGGGTGTACATAGGTGGGGGTGTCAGGTGTACATAGGTGGGGTGTCAGGTGTACATAGGTGGGGGTGTACATAGGTGGGGGTGTACATTGGTGGGGGTGTACTTAGGTGGAGGTGTGAAGTGTACATAGGTGGGGGTGTACATGGGTGGGGGTGTACATGGGTGGGGGATGTACATAGGTGGGGGTGTACATAGGTGGGGGTGTCAGGTGTACATGGGTGGGGGTGTACATAGGTGGGGGTGTACATAGGTGGGGGTGTACATAGGTGGGGGTGTCAGGTGTACATGGGTGGGGGTGTACATAGGTGGGGGTGTACATAGGTGGGGGTGTACATAGGTGGGGGTGTCAGGTGTACATATGTGGGGGTGTCAGAAGTATAAGGGTGGGGCTGTGAGGTGTACATGGGTATGTGGGGTGGCAGGTTCACCGACCCAAAAAGATTTTTATTGAGCTAACGAAACAAAGGGCGGGAGGGAGGTGGATGGTCACATTCCACCCTTCCCTCCAAATTTACAACACAAAAAATTACCAAAAATATCAACACATTTTTATTTTGTTTTACTCTGTAAAATGTACTGTCTACGCGGAGCCCGGATCTTTCAATGTCCTGTGTCGTTATAATCCGACATGAGTCTTCAAAGATAAATAATTCAATATTTATAATTGTCATCGTTGGTTTTATTGTCGTGCTACCTATGTTGATACACCACACCGACATGTAAACACCTCCAACCCCACCTATGTTCATACACCACACCGACATGTAAACACCTCCTACCCCACCTATGTTCATACACCACACCGACATGTAAACACCTCCAACCCCACCTATGTTCATACACCACACCGACATGTAAACACCTCCAACCCCACCTATGTTCATACACCACACCAACATGTAAACACCTCCAACCCAGACACCTGTTATCTTACGTGGCGTCAGCACACCCAGGTATGAAGGGGAGAGCATCCTAAGTAAAGTAATAAACATTCAGGGGAGTTAATATGTGTTTGATAAAGCATGACAGTGGTTACACAGCCGCACTTTTTTGTGGAGGGGGGAGGGGGTGAAGTAGTAATCCCCCTTTTTATAAAAAAAAAAAAATTGTTTCATTTTTATGGATGGCTAACTTTTATATGAAGCTGCACACTGAGTTCAAGAAGAGACATTTTTAAATGACATAATTAAAGATTTATAAACAAAAAGTAACTTTTAAAAGTTAGGCTAGTGGGTTTTGTGGTACTTGTTTAATGGTAATGGTAGGCTGTCTTTTAGAGTGAGTTGGTCATTTAGTGTTGGGGACAGTAGGTCTTTTAGAGTGAGTTGGTCATTTATTGTTGGGGACAGTAGGTCTTTTAGGTATAACAATCTAACCCTAAACCTATTAAAAAATTTTTTGGGAGGGAGAGGGGGGGGGTAGTTATTGATGTCAGGTAGGTTTAGAGACACTAATTTTGATCCACGTACTGAGATTTGATACAGTTTAGGAAACGTCAAACATGAATGTGTACATTTGTTAAAGAAACGATGGCAGCACAAAATAGTTTAAAAGAAATATTTCTTGTTGAATGTATGAAAGGTTTGACAGCATATTTTGTCTGAGGGCACAGCCCGTCAAGAAATAGTTGATCGATTTAACTGGCGCTGGTAGTCTGGCTTGCCGTATCGTAGAATCGGTTTCTGGAGCGGATCAAAAGAGGCCTTAGAAGAAAGTATACGGTAATTGTGTGCGCCGTTTTGACATGCAAATGAGCTTGATAGAGAGACTAAAGATTGCGTGCACACAGTTGAACCAGCCCAGTTTTGCCGGCTGGTACATTCCAATAGGTCTGGAATGTGGGTATTGTCGTCAGGCGTGGGATGAATAGATCATAAATAGACGGCCAGCGCTGGTACAGCAGGGTGTGTAGGCCGTCAAGTTTTACCCGCGCTAGCTGTCAGCGTTTACGACATACTGACTGACAGAAATTTACGACATACTGACTGACAAAAAAGTTACGACATACTGGCTGACAAAAAAGTATGACATATTGACTAACAAATAAGTAACGAAATATCAACTAGAAAATAATTTTACGACATACTGACGAACAAATAATTTAGTAGATAGGGACAAACACATTTTTTACGACATGCCCAGTTTTTAGTAATAAGGCTTCATCGTTACACTCCTTTTCGTCTGCCTGACGTTCTAAAGTAATCTCAAGACTTGCACCCCCAGGTCGCTCAAGTAAACCTCCTTCATTAAATCACACCATGGGGCGCGGAGTCAAAGGCGTTTGACTGCTCGTTCAAATTTCGGGTTCAAGGCCGTAGGACGAGCCTGAGTCAACGCAGCTCTGATGGGTACCTGACTCTCTTTAGAGAAAGTAACGGCAGATATTCAGAGTGCTGACCATTTTATCCCTCCATATACTGAGGTCACTGAAACTGATGAACTCTACTTCACCTGCCCCGAGTACCGTAAGGTTTTAAAAGTGTACTTTTACTTTTTACTTTTAAAATCACAGCAACTAGCTGACTTCCCTTTCTTAATGTATGTCAATGATAAAACTCGACTCTTTAAAAAAAACAACTAATAACGGTTATAACATCCCCCTTTCTTTTTATTATCATGTAGTTGACCCGACTTAATTAATTAATTGATGTCGGACAGAAAACCATTGTGTCTAATTAAAAACGTGTAGAATACCTCTTTTTCTTGGGGGTGGGGGATGGCGGTGGCGGTGAAGGGGGACTTGTATTAGGTGTGATGCAGGTAACAACTGTGTGGGTAACTTGTTTTGTGTGGGTAACTTGTTTTGTGTGGGTAACTTGTTTTGTGTGGGTAACTTGTTTTGTGAGGGTAACTTGTTTTGTGTGGGTAACATGTTTTGTGTGGGTAACTTGTTTTGTGTGGGTAACTTGTTTTGTGTGGGTAACTTGTTTTGTGTGGGTAACTTGTTTTGTGTGGGTTAACTATGGGCCATTTGTTGACGTGTGTCCAGACTTTTTTCTCCGGGGGGGGGGGGGGGGGGGCACTTGAAACTGGAAGAAACTCTGCGTGTGTCCTGCATCACATACATGCAGCCACACAACATATGAGTCAGTGTTGTGTCTTAGACAGCAGGTGTGTGTGGGCTGTAATACGAGATGTACACAGTGTGTTACAGTCTACACACAAACACAACATCTGCACATGTGTTGGTCTACACACAAACACAACATGTGCACATGTGTTGGTCTACACACAAACACAACATGTGCACATGTGTTGGTCTACACACAAACACAACATGTGCACATGTGTTGGTCTACACAAACACGACATGTATATATCTGTTGCTCAGTCCGACCCATCTCACGTTTTACACGTGTTCATCAAACACGCAACTTGTAGACATGTCAGACAACACACTGGGCACACATTAAAAGATATGATTCTCGTTTAGATAAAATTTTATCTCTGAGATGTTTGGTGCAGTCAAAACTTGACCCGAGGACAAAACTTTCTCTCTGAGATGTTTGGTGCAGTCAAAACTTGACCCGAGGACAAAACTTTATCTCTGAGATGTTTGGTGCAGTCAAAACTTGACCCGAGGACAAAACTTTATCTCTGAGATGTTTGGTGCAGTCAAAACTTGACCCCAGGACAAAACTTTATCTCTGAGATGTTTGGTGCAGTCAAAACTTGACCCGAGGACAAAACTTTATCTCTGAGATGTTTGGTGCAGTCAAAACTTGACCCCAGGACAAAACTTTATCTCTGAGATGTTTGGTGCAGTCAAAACTTGACCCGAGGACAAAACTTTATCTCTGAGATGTTTGGTGCAGTCAAAACTTGACCCGAGGACAAAACTTTATCTCTGAGATGTTTGGTGCAGTCAAAACTTGACCCGAGGACAAAACTTTATCTCTGAGATGTTTGGTGCAGTCAAAACTTGACCCCAGGACAAAACTTTCTCTCATCATGAGCAGGGACCTGGGTTGTTTACACTTTGCCATCTAGTTCTACAACAATTACACCGTAGAACCTGCATTGTCTAGATCAGGGGTTCCCAACCCCGTGCCCGCGGGCGCCATGGCGCCCGCCGAACGATTCGTATGTGCCCACCTCTCACTATTCGACAGAGACAGAATTGTTTTCATACACATTATTGACAGGTTGAAGGGGTTGGAAATCGAAAGTTTGAGGAGGGGGGGGGGGGGGGGTGCACATCGAAAGACTTAGGGGGGGGGTGCGAATCGAAAGTTTTGTCCCCGGGTGACAGGAAGAGTCGCTACGCTTCTGGAAGGAGTTTGTCGATTTAAAATAGGTGGTGCCCACCAACCTACCGATATTTTAGAATGTGCTCTAGCGTAAAAAAAGGTTGGGAACCCCTGGTCTAGATGGTATTATATCTGCATTATCTAAATGGTATTCCTATCTATATATTATATACAAACACACACATACGTGTATATATATATATATATATATATATATATATATATATATATATATATAT